ATAAAATACAATCGCACGTTTTGCAAGCAAATTAAAAACCCAAATTATTTTTTTCCTGCTAATTTGGGATGCGAGGCGCGGCGTCAAATGCCGTAACGCGAAAAATGTGATTTTCTCGTAATAGAAATATTCAACATTGTCTTAGAATTGCGAGTTGTTGTCAGCAAGTCAGTTGTTAAATCCAACACAATGGAGTCTGGACCGTCTTCATTCACTTAAAAAGTTGGAAGTACAATGCCCCCCTCTTTCTGGAGGAGGGATGAATCCAAATGAAGCCCTGTTTGCGGTCTAAGCGATTTGCATACATAAGCTCTGTTCGGTTGCGGGATCAAAAATGGAATAATGCTTTCTTAAGTAGTAATCTGTCGCTATTCCTCCCGTATTGAAGTATTTTCAGCCTTTCTTATTATGCATTCGTGGAGTGGACCATTGAGTGCGGTTCTGACTTTAATTGAATTGAGATAACTAGTAAGCTTAACAAAACCTTTATACAGGGTGTCCCAAAAAGCCCTAGTGATGCTCTACCTCTGAGCTTTGGTTTGACACTACTTTTTGGGACACCCTGTATATTTAGAGCATGACATTCTTAGGTTGTTCTGATTGATGGGCAATTACCATGGCACAATTTTAGTAACTTTCCTTAAGCGTGGCACGCCACCTGGAGCAAATCCTTCACCATCTTAATCTGAAGTTTTAATCTCTCCGGAGAGCTACACCGTTTGCATCCACTCCCGTTAATCTCCCTTGTAAATGGACGATGGTACAGGTGGGATTAAATGGCCCACCTGCTTAGTGGGAAATTAACTCGCTAGACTGTTATGCTACTTCTCTTGATATTTATTGGATAATTAATAATTTTGTGATCACTTAATCTCGGCTATTCTCAGTTGCCAGACGGTATTCCCACGGCCGTTAAATTTTGCAGGATGTTTGAAATTCGAAGTACAAATTCGAAAAAGAAAACAGTTCCTAAAAAAACGGGATGTCCCCGTGGGAAAGATCCCTTAGTGATAATTCCTTTTCCTTAGTAATTGTTGTAAAACACCAGAAACTAGATATCTGACATCTTAAGTATAACATTTATTGTTCTACAAGCTTTAACATACTTAACTTAATACAATGGAAGTTATAAAATAAACGTTAGTTTTTGTGTTTTTCAAAATATAACCCTACATACTATATTTTATAACGTACTATCGGGGACTCGAACGCCTTGACACCTTAAGGGCCTAAATTGTTTGCACACACACGCTCGATTTTGCTCCGCCCCCGTTCATTCATGTTTCGAGTCTAAGCAGCGTCGGCGCACCACTGTAGATGTTTGCCCTAGCAAACCAAGCTCTATGTAAAGCACTTAGGATTGAGTATTGCTTATTACCCGCATCCGTAGCGCTCGTTTGGCAACGTCGCATTTTAGTCAATTTGAAAACCAATTAAGAATCGCTACAAAATATTATATGAGGCTTCGTGTAAAATTTGAACTAGCGATTGCCCGCTCGGGTCACAAAATTGCTATCGCACATTCCGAGGTAACTATGCAATTTCCCGAGAAAAAAGTAGCCCTTTCTACAATTATTGTTGATATTATGAGTGTAAATCTCATGATATTAGTTTAGCTAGTTAGGGCGAGAAATACAAAATCATACATTTGTTTGTAACCAGATTCTATTATTAAAATTCTAAGGCTCAGTTGCACCATCTTACTTTAACTTTAACAAACGTCAAAATTCTGTCAAACTCCATACAAAAAGCACCGGTTACCGTTATAGTTACGGTCAAAGTTAGAGGGTGCAACTCAGCCTAAAACTAAGAAAGATTGAAGAAAAAGAAACATTTCGTTTTAAACCTTAACCCTATGACAATAAAGTGCACAATGGTATTTCGTATTGCAACCTAAGCCCTGATTGTCTCTTATTGGTCGTAGTAAAAATATAGTAAAATGCGTAACCAATTAGAGACGGGGTGAGCACGTGACCGGAGCGATGCGCTTACGCTAAAATTTCTACAAAGTGGTCAGGCGGAAGAGTCCCCGATAGTACCTACTATGTTACAAACGTTCAGATAAGATAGATAGGTTTTGGTGTGAACGGTTTTTTCTTCCTTTGTTGTTCTACAATAGTTTAACTATAGTTACGAAGTTGTCACGTGGTTCAAAGTTTATAACTTGATTTAACCGCCACCGCAGCCCTTGTAGCCTGAACTTGTAGTTTGATTAACTAATGGATTAACTTCGTTGATTCATCGATATTGTTTCTCAGTTTAGACCAATTTACGTTGAACCACTTCAATTTGGGAGGGCGGCCATTTTGTTCGTCAGATTGACATTGTTGTAAGCACCAATTGCAGCAATCGAATCGTTTCAATGAAGGCCACCGCAATTTCGGTCACCAGTTGGCGCCACCGGTGCATGAACTCCCGCCCAGTGGCGCAAATTGGGCGCACAAAACTCATTGGCGACAGAATGCTATTGGATTCTAAACTTCACAGCCCAATGCCGTAAACTGGCGTTCACCTAAATAGGGTTTAATAAGCTGAAGGATTTTCCTCAAAAAGTAACATTTTATTATTACTTGTTGCCGTTTTCTGGGTATTTTCTTTATAAGCTGGTATTTACATCATTACTGTGTATTTTGCCAGGATATACCTCTTAGCTCAAAAGTTATAGTTAGCGTTTTCTCTACAAAATTCATCAGAAAGTAATTAAAAGAAGAGCATCTTTAAAAAATTGAAAATAAATCTGAGATTTTTTGACATCTAATAAAGCCGGGTCCAGACGGGTGTAAAGCGTAACATTTTAATACATTTTTTATAAGCGACACGAGCTTCGCTAAAAACAAAGAAATAATATCACTAAACTAATATTTCATAAAAGACGGTAGTCTTAAAAAACTCAACCAAACAGTATTGAATGTATCGTGTAACGTAATGAAAAAAGTATGTGCATTACACCCGTCTGTACCGGCTTAAGCGTTAACAGTTGTATAATTTCAACATTCTATTCAACATAATGATCAAACAATTCCAATGTGTCAAAGTTTGTCACTATGAACCCACATCCTTTGCTAAAGTCAAAACAACACCTGTTTATTAATATACAAATTACAAACACGCCAATACATTTCGCACCTGTCTCCCCAAATGTATGTACGTGTAGGGTTGCCAGGTCGTCTAACCTAATACCCGGACAGATCAGGCATTTTATCCGGACATTTGGGTAAAAAAAAGCCGGACGGATTTTGTGTCTTTATAATAATACGCCATTTTTTTAGGTAAAAACTAAGCTTTTTATCATTTATCATAAAACTTCTTCAATACTAATGAATCGGAGTCTTCCAGTGACTTGGCCCACTTTTAGCTTGGTCCACGGGCCAAGTCACTGGTTTGAATTTTTAAAATATTTTTCTTCCAGCAACTGGGCCCAATCTAAGATTTTAGAGTAGATTTTTGTTGATTCGGTGTTTAATTTATTAATAAAAACATTAAAAGTGGGCCCAGTTACTGAACGAAAAAATATTTAAATTTCAATCCACTGGAAGACTTATGAATCGTGCGTGCGTGAGTAGTAAATGTAAAAAGCCTAACAAAAGCCGGACAGGCCGGACATCGTTCAATATGTCCGGCTTTAGCTGGACGCTTGGCAACCGTATGTACTATCGGGGACTCGAACGCCTTGACACCTTAAGGGCCTAAATTGTTTGCACACACACGCTCGATTTTGCTCCGCCCCCGTTCATTCATATTTCGGGTCTAAGCAGCGTCGGCGCACCACTGTAGATGTTTGCCCTAGCAAACCAAGCTCTATGTAAAGCAATTAGGATTGAGTATTGCTTATTACCCGCATCCGTAGCGCTCGTNTATAGTTACGGTCAAAGTTAGGTGGTGCAACTCAGCCTAAAACTAAGAAAGATTGAAGAAAAAGAAACATTTCGTTTTAAACCTTAACCGTATGACAATAAAGTGCACAATGGTATTTCGTATTGCAACCTAAGCCCTGATTGTCTCTTATTGGTCGTAGTAAAAATATAGTAAAATGCGTAACCAATTAGAGACGCGGTGAGCACGTGACCGGAGCGATGCGCTTACGCTAAAATTTCTACAAAGTGGTCAGGCGGAAGAGTCCCCGATAGTACGTGTATGAATTCCTCAATTAATTCTCCCGCCACGGCGCAGGTGCCGCGCAAACCAAAATATTCTCCAAACACAATATCGCGCACATTACCCAGACCACACATAAAATCATTTTCACACCTGAATCTGTTGGCAATCGTTTGTGGAAAAGATATTGAGATATTATCTTTACGAGCTGCTGAGTCCGTTGCTCTTGCTCGATAAATCTTATCAGGAGTAGATAAAAAAAATAAACACTGAATGAGAATTACAAAAATGTACAGTGTGTACGGAGAAGTAGTGATCAAACTTTAAGGGCGTGATCTATGGATAATTTTATCGATGAAAATATGTACTTGAAATTCTAGCCCAATTTACTTTATAATAGATAGCCTGCCTCTATAAAATAAAGCGTGAAAACGGAAAGAAGGGGTCCATTTGTTCAACATAGTACTGAAAGTAATATTGTACACTCTTTTCTTTTCTTTACACGTAAACAATATTTCTATTGATTACCAGCTGCGATACAATATTTTATAGAGACTGAAGAATGAGTAGGACCTATTCAATAGCGAAATCTATGCCTACAATATTGTTCAAAATGTTTCTAAAGAATAAGAATGATATTTTTTTAGTTAGTAAGCTACCTTCAGGCTCGTTAGAGCTGACGGCAACTTAACGAGATATATTTGCCATTGACATAATAACCTCAAATTTGTGCGAGCGTAAACAGAATTTGCTCGGAGTCCCGCAGCATTCGTACCACAAAGACATCTCCGAATCGCGTTCGCTAAATCATATTTCAAAATCTGATAAAACCTGACATAAAAAGAAATCCGTGGAAAGCCGAGCTGTCCATTCCAGTGATCTCATTACAACGCAATTTTCTTGTTTCACAGGTAGCGGCGAATCTCAAGATTAGATAAGATAAAGAAGCAAGGACGAAAGAACACTCGTAGAAACATGTTTTCGGCAATCGCTAGAGACGCTTGCAGATAGCAAGACAAATGAATGGTTAAAGAAAAACATAAAAGTGACCATGATATGATAGGAGTGCAAGTGGTTTTGGCACCATCGAAAGTGAATCAAGTGAAGTGGTTACAGAAAATGTTTGTGCAGTGATTGGTGGTTTTAGTCATGGGTTGCAAGCTTGGGAAGATGGTTGCTTCGGAGAGGCAACGGGGGGGGAACACCACCCAGGAGTTGGGGGGAGGGCCGCCCCCCGCCACGGATCCCCGGTTGCCGTTGACCGCGAAGCAGAAATACTCCATGCTGGCCTCGTGGAAAGGCATATCCAGGGCGATGGAGAAGACTGGCATTTGTATGTTTATAAAGTAAGTGGTTAACGCCCGTTTTCACCATCAATTCCTGAGTATTTCTCAAAAAAAATGTACATTTTGAAAAAAAAAAGTGTGCTTTGAAACAGTTCAAAAGTTTTATATTTATAAATCATCACACAAAAAAAACACACACACAATTTTGAAGGATGAATATTAATCTTTAAGATAACGAAGAATTATAGCTATAATCCTACTTATTACCAAATATTTAGATATTTTAAAAATAGTCCTTTTTTACCTTTCATACAAAAACCTGTTTGCCACCCTAGCTTTTTCATGTATTTTTGTTTCATAAAATGCGATACGTAACTAAATTATTGTAAATTTCTTTGTATTATCGTTCTACAGTAATCGCAGTTTCTGTATCAAATTGATTTTCTATGGGGTGTCATAATGAATTGGCAATTTAAAGCAAAAAAACAAAATGAGTCGCTCTCATTTACTATTTCGTTATTTACTCTTTAGTTACGATTTATTTCTACTTTCCCATGGTTTCTGAACAATTCCGTATTTATTTTACACGGACAACAATAGCTGCACTCTGAATGGCTGTTGGCCTGACGTCTCCGCCTGTTTTGTGGGATTACTTTTTCGTAACAGGCAGTAAAATCAGCGATTTTATATAGAACGGTAAGTCTTCATTTAACCATTTTTTGTAATACGTGTGGTACGAACATTTAGTAAGCTTTTATATTTGCTGTAACAAATTTTATCAAAAAAATACTTGTTTCTGATCTCATTTTGTCTAATATTTCGTTACGTTTTTTGCGAATTTCGTTACGTTACGAAAAAGTACAACATAATGCTGAGTGTATACTGTTATTACCTGACTAAGCATAGTAATATTCACTACTTAATTAATTTCAAAAAATATAGAGCGTTAATAACAAAAGGATTGGATACTATCTGCTTTACAGAAGTGCCACCAGCAAAAAATTATCAAATCATTTAGATTACGTTTTTATGTGATTACTTCTTTTGTTTTTTTAGGAATGCCGCCAAAAACCAATGCCGAAAGGCAAAAAGCTTACAGAGAACGACTCAAAATGGATAAACATGATGGAACAAAAATAATTTTATTAAAATAGTATGAATGATTACTCCCTTATTTTATTTCTAACCCCTTAATATTACCCCGTATTTGGGTGCATACTTACAAATATTTCGAATTGAATAAATAAAGAGCATTCACAATATTTCGCCAATGTATAACAATCCTTATGGCCTTACTATTTCGTTACTACCGTTTCGTTACGTACACTTTTTTTGAGAAATACTCTCCTAATTTTTAAGTGACCCCTATGACAAAATTCCTGTATGCGTTACCACAGGGGTCACGTAAAAATTAGGGATTGATGGTGAAAACGTGCCTAAGTCTTTTTTCTCTCTCTTTATTTGGGATAACAAACATTGAGGGCTTATGTGCTACATCTTAGTATAACTTAAAGATTGAGTAACAATGTAACCAGCACCATTGTCCACAAATAGGTTCAGAAGTAGTAACTATGTATAATGTTTTTAAAAGCATCCAGACACTCAATATTATTAGTAATAATGAATCAATATTCCTTCTTGCGGTAATGATATTCTAAATTTTCCACATACCTACTAATTGCCTTATCAAACTATAATCTTCCTTCACTCCAACCACCAAACACATCAACTATTCAAAATTATTTTACACAAATAAGATGGAGCGTACACACTAAACATTTTAACGTTTAATGTTTTTCTTCTTTTTCATGTAAAATCACTGACACCAATATTTTAGCGTTAACATTATGTTAAAGTAAATGACTTTTAAAATAAACATAAGAAACGTCAATACTAAAATGAAATGGAAATCGAGACGAAGGCTACAAGTCTTCAGAAATAACAATAAAATGACATCTATTATCATCGACCAAGGTCTCCAACGACGAGTACAACATTGTCCCAAGTCTGAATTTTGTATTTTTCAACAAAACACACTTTAGTTTAGCATCATAATACGCGGCACGTCGTAACTCAACGAACAAAGAAGAAACATCTTATTGATGTAAATTTAGTACAAAACTGGAACTAGCATTTAGAATTTCAAAACAGGATAAACTGTGTTGAGAATCTTATTGTTACATTTCGGCCACTTGAATCTTAAAAAGCGAGACATTGCTTGTTCCCGATAAAAAGTTAATGTAATAAAATATTTAACGATTTCATTAAAAACGTTTAGTCCTGACCTAGTTTTGTGTATTTTGAAATTGCCGCATTTTTGCGTCGTACAAGGAAAAATTTCCGTGCTTTTAAGCGATTTTGTGAAAAATATTATTGGCAGGTACTTGCTAATTGCTCATACCCTTAATTTAATTTATTGTCCGTGGTGCATAATCTTTTTCTTAAAGGTTTTAAACCTTTGTTTGTCACCTGTCATCCGCTTTGCAATGGAGGGAAGTCGAACCTTAATTTCGAACTCCTCCTATGTTCTTCTGATTAATTTCGTTGCGGGTCCAATGACAGTTTAACTTTCCCCGGGACAAACTTGACCTTCATTGGTTGGGTTTTTGTGGCGGTCAAGCTGTAGATCCTGGCTACACAGGAGTTGCAGTGGTGTGAACGAGAGGTGGGAATAGTCCCGTTATTTTGGCGTCGTAACATCTCATCTTAATATTTTTATTTTTATTCACCAATTGATGCATATTTCGTAGGTACCTACATGCACCGCCAGTGTTACAAATTAAGACCAATGTTCATTTTATACGTAACTTTATTCTAACTCTGTCACCACGACCAAATGTTTGCGTATTAACAAGTGTGAATAATATTGTTGTAGCAATAGCATCGTGGAACGAAAAATATTCCATTTGGTCAATATTAACCCCCTTACTAATAAAAAATACACGCTCGTTAAACAGTTGTTTTAGAGTGACGTTTAGTGGAAATGTCACTTAAAACGCTATTCAACGAGCGTGTATTTTTATGGGGGTAAGTCTTCTACAGTAAAATTACGTAGTTTATTAGTTGTCATTGTCACAAATATTCCGCAAACCAAAATGAACCACTGTAAACTTACTTACTAAAATTACTGTTAATCATAAATTTAATCAACACACTTACCTACTCCCTGAACAATTTAATGACTCCTACTTTTTCACAGAATCTGAGAAGTTCTTCCTAATTTCAACATTATTATTTACTCAGAAACGAAGTAGGTAAGTTAAATAATAAAAAGGGCTTACACAAACGTAAAGCCGTCTAAAAGTGATTTTACTTCCAAAGTTCGGAATAATAAAGAGCCAGAACCAAAAGAAACTAATCAAACATACACAAAGAACGATTTTCCAAAAGAACTTTGTTTGCCAGTTTTTGTTACTTACGCCTGTATTCACAAACATTACTATGAGGTCTCACAGTGCGCGTGGACGCACAGGGTGAAACACACAGAGCTCTATTCAACGCTGTGCGTTCGATTTGCTGCTTCATTTAAGCAAGCATCGTTTGTATACGGGCGTTAATACAAAAATGTTTTATAGGCACTTTTTGTTTTCGAAGTTGATTTAAAAATAAAAGTTGCCCGCGTCTTCGTAGAGACAAGGTAACTTTTACCTTGTCTCCACGAAACAGTAGTTTTTATACACCATGTCCAAAATTTGACATGCAGGTAGATGTTATGACGTAGGCATCCGCTATGAAAGGATTTTACGAAACTCCACCCCTGAGGGTAAAACGGGACCCACGCGTACGAAGTCGCGGGCGGCCGCTAGTAATACATATAAGGTACCTATTTGAAACACCTAGTGTAAAAGGGAACTCGAATAATATTTGAAGTCGACGTGACATTATACTTTCATAATTGACACCCCCAATAATATTATATTATAAGCACGGAATCTTCCTCATTGTGTTTCACTGAGGGTAGGAATATAATATTTGCTCACACGTAATCTCACGCAGATGTACAAAAACATTTCCGAAGGTCTAGTCTGAGACCGGAAGATATTGGCGTCTCGGCTGAAACCGGAAGATGTTAGCGTCTCGTATGAGACCGGAATGTTTTTTGAGTGAAACCTCCTGAGATATGAAACAGCTTAGGCTTCGCTCATGTATTAGGTCCATACCTATGAAATTAGCGTTTTGTGTGGAGAATTTAACGAAAATTATTTTTTACATACTATTCCATTATCATCATCATCATCTCAGCCATAGGACGTCCACTGCTGAACATAGGCCTCCCCCAATGCTTTCTATGTTGCCCGGTTGGTAGCGGCCTGCGTCCAGCGCCTTCCTGCTACCTTTATGATGTCGTCGGTCCACCGACCGTCGGAATTTATAGGGAACCACAAATTCAAATTTTATGAATTTTAGTGTGAAATAATAATTATGTATGTAGTATTAAAATACCTACAGAGGTAGTTTTTAACAACAACCTCCTCAACCTGGCAAGAACGTTTGAATATTTCGACCTGGCAACCCTACTTCCGGGTGTGACGTCACCCGGTCTTGACCCAATTGCGGGGAGAGCTTTGCCCGCAAACCGTAAATAATGGAAGCTTTAAAGCTTTGCATTTGTAATTGCTCAAACGGTCTTCAATTTCATCATTCTTTATAAAACCGAGTAAATTAAGTATACCCCATTAGGTTAACGCGTTTACGAAGATTAGAAAAGGAATTATATAATTTTTTCTTATAGCCCTTTTGATTAATGTTGAGGGTTTCCACTTACTTCATACTTATGTACTACCTACTGTGTTTCTTAATTACCTACTTGGACTTACTAAGATGGCGCTACTGTAGGTAAAGTAAAGGTCCTCTGTGTGATGTTAACAATCTACGAGTATATCGAAGCGAAAGGTCACTGATTGACTGACTCACTCATCACAAAATCTCAGAAACTACAAGTGCTAGGCGTCTCAAATTTTGTTTCCTTTTTAGAACGTAGGTGCTTATGCAGTGCTCACTAAGACGAGAGTTTGCAAAATTCAACCCCTAAGGGGGTAAAACGGGATCCACGCGTACGA